CTAATCAAGATGCATGTTATCACTAAAGAAACAATGACCACAGATCCAATTCTAGAAATGAGTACAATGTGTTTACTAACCAAGACCGTTGAGTTGGGTGCTAATGCTCCCACCTATAGTCTTGGCTACTCAAGAGACTGAGTTGTGAGAATCAAAGTCAACACAGACAGACAAATCTGAGACTCTCAGCTCCAATTAACCAGTGAAAAGCCATCAGCAGAAGCCAGGCCAAGTGGTAGGTACCAGCCATGAGTAGAAAAGCAAGCCAGAAAATGTGAGGCTCTGAGTTTAAACTTCAGTACTGGAACAAAGAAAAGGCAATGTATGGTCAGTGTACCAGGATTCCTTATTCTGAAGCTCACCGTGCTGTTTTGAATGTGTTTACTTTATATATGTACTTCCTCTATCCCTAACTAACCAGAGGCTGGTAACATTTAGGTCATTTCTACTAGAATATTCCTTTCAGAAAAGCTTTTTTTTGGGGGGGGTGCCAGTATTAGAGCTTGAATTTAGGGTCTGGGCAGTGTCCCTAGCTTTTTTTTGGGGGGTCCAGTCATGGGGCCTGAACTCTGGGCCTGGGCACTGTCCCTCAGCTCTTCAGTTCAAGGCTAGCACTCTACCACTTGAGCCTCAGCACCACTTCCGGCTTTTTTCTTTTTGCTTATGTGGTGCTAAGGAATCAAACCCAGGGCCTCATGCATGCAAGGCAAGCACTCTACCACTGAGCCACCTTCCCAGCCCTGTCCCTAGCTTTTTTACTCAAGATTCGTGCTCTACCACATGAGCCACAGCTCCACTCTCAGATTTGGAGGAGTTAATTGGCGATAAGAGTCTCACAGACTTTCTTGTTCAGATTGGCTTCAAACTGAGATCCTCAGATCTCAGCCTCCTATGTAACTAATGATTATAAGTGTGAGCCAAAGGCACCTGGCTTAGAAAAGCATTTTTCAAAGATTAGTCACAAAAGTGCAACGGTAAAGGAAACTTCTCTGATCTACATTCTCCATCTCTGGAAGATGAGGAACCTGAAATCCTTTTTAATTTAATATATATGAAGTGCTACTAGCACGGCGCCAAACAGCTCACATCCATTATCTTAATTAAATCATCAGGATATATATATATATATATATATATATATATATATATATATATATATATATGGTGAGTACTACCACAATCATCACCAGCATCATCATCTCCATTTAACAAATGAAAAAACCTGAAACTTGGAGATGTGAAACTACTTTCCCAAGGACTCTGAGCAAGAAAGTTGGGATGTAGTTTGAGTCCTTATTCAGAGGCTAACTTGGCCTCTGCCTCCCACCTCTCAGAGTGCCAGTCATGCAAAAAAGTAAAGGGCCAACTACAAATCCATCCAAAAATGACAGTGAAGGTGGTCAGTGAATGGTGGACAATGGAAGGTGGTCAGGGGAGGGGGAGAGAGACATCTGCGCTGGGCTGGCACAACTATATAGGATTTCAAGAGGAATCCAAAAGCCACGAATGGCAGAAAAGGCAGGGAAGGTAGAGTGCAAAAAGAGACCGACTGAGAAGCTGTGTCTCCTTTACCCCTTACCACACTTGCACCTTGCTCTCCTCACTGTCAGATTCTTCTAGGCTCCTCTACATCTGTTTCATAATTTTTTTTTTATTTTGCTAGTACTGGGGCTTGAAATCAGGGCTTTGTTTTTATGGTCAAAGCTGGCACTCTAAGACTTGAGCCACACCTCTACTTCTGGCTTTTTGCTCATTCATTAGAGATAAGAGTCTCCTATTTGTCTCCCTGGGTTGGCCTGCTTGGGACTGCGATCCTCAGATCTCAGTGTCCGCAGTAGGTAGGATTATAGTCATGAGCCACCAGCTCCAGACTTGTTTCATTTCATGATTCTTCAATCCCATTCAAATTGCTAAGTTTAGATCAGCTGATAGGGACCAGAACTTGATTGAGCAGAGGGAATGGAGACAAGAAGACAGATTTGAAGGGGCCTTGCAAGAATCTGGCCTCTGCCAGAGAGATGAGCAAGAAAAGCAGAGCAGACTTCAAAGTCTGCTCAACAAGACTCTGAAGAGAGGAATGAGATGGCTTGACCAACATTTCTTCCCAACAAGTATTTATTAAGCAACTATGATGTGCTGGATATTGGAGGCACAAGAAGCAAGATCAGGTTCTTGCTGATCACCAAAGAGGATGTTTCAGCTATCACCCAAGGGGAGGCAAAGCCAGCATAGACCAGGCATCAGTCTAAGTTCATGGAACAACCTCACGATTGCAGTTTGAAGCCAGCCCAGGTAGTAAAGTCAACAAAACTCTCATCTCCAACTAGCCACAAACACTTGGAAGTGGAAGGGTGGCGCAAGTGGTAGCGCACTAGTATCAGAGCAAAAAAATTCAAGTGAGAGCTCAAGGTGCATGCGCTCGTGTGGATACCCACACACACACATCAGAATATGCTTTAAAAATGGTGAATGGTAAATACATGGCTGAGCAGTAAGACTGCCTGCTTAGCAAGCATGAGGCCCTGAGTTCAAACCCCAATGCTGACAAGAACAGTAAATACCTTTCAACACTATTCATCTCATCTGCTGAATTATATTACAGTCAAAGCAGAGGATAATAGGACTTGCTGTTCCTTCGGCAGGACTTCTAATTATTCAAAGAGTTGAGCCTTTCTCATTTATTCAGGTTTCAGGACAGGTGTCAGTCCTCACACAGCCCCTCCTAGTGGACTGCCCAATGGCACGTATTCTCCACAACACACCATATGGTTCTATTTCTCCATTGCCTTGATACCTGGCATATATTCACACACGCATTGCCATGGGTTTTTTTTTGTTGTTGTTGTTGTTTGTTTGTTTCTTCATTGCCATGTTTTGTATCTCCCACAAGAATGGACCTTCACAGAAGCAAGAACTTAATCTCATTAGTTGGTGCCAGCCACACAATAAGTCTGCCCTGAAGGAAACATTTATTGAATACAGTACAATTAAAGAGGGAGGAAAAAGGCAAAAAAAAAAAATTAAGACCTCAAACCAAAACATACCAAGAATTAAAAGACCTTGAAGAGCCCACGTTTGTCACCCTAGCTACTCAGGAAGCTGAGCTGAGACTTACAGTTTGAAGCCAGCTCAAGCAGAAAAGTCGGTGAGACACTTATCTCCAAACAACCAGCAAAAAACCAGAAGTAAAACTGTGACTCAAGTGGTAGAGCACCTGCCTGGAGTAGAAAAAGCTTAAGGGACAGTGCCCAGGCCCTGTGTTCAAGGCCCAGTACCATCCTGCACTTACACACATGTACACACACTTCCTCAAACCAAACCACACACACACACACACTCACTCACACTCACACACACACACACACACACTTCCTCAAACCAGTCCTGTTTCCAGTTCCTCAGAACAACAGAGAATTAAGACAAGGAAGAGCAAAGCCATGTCCATAAAGGAGAGGTTAAACCAAAATCCAGAGAAGTCGCAGACCCCACAGCAGATCAGGGCCCAGCTAGATCAGGAGGGCACCCACCCAGTGTAAGACATTTGACAATGAGGCCAGCCAGCTGCCAGAGCTCAGGTTTTATTTCCGTTGTCCTTCTGACGTCAGAAAAAGCACGAGTTGCTGCCTAGTTTTTTTTTTTTCTATCAAGGTGACAAATTACAGCCCGCCTGGGCCCTGAATTCAGCAAGCCATAGATTTCTTTCCTCCTACCTCTTATTTTGAAAAATGCAACAACGACGACGACGACCACGACAAAAACCAACCGCACGGCTCGCTTTAGAGGTGTCCAATTTCCTTCCAAACGCAAATGCATTCATGGTTTCTTAGGGGCAGGGCTTCCCCCCCCATTCTTTCTACTCTAGTCTACACACCATTGATCACTCTAAGAAATGTACGGGGTCCCCCGCAGCAGTTTTGCTTTCCATGGGAGACACAAGCTTCTGACACCCCTCTCCCCACTCCCCCAAGCCACCCGGCCCTTCTTCCCCCCAGGTCCGCACAGCTGAGAGACACAAAGGATTCAGACGATCGCCAAACTCTCCCCAGCTCATGAAAGACGCGCAAAGCGGATATGGGAAATTCTTTTTGCCCCCACCCCCACCCCCAATGTGCGTCCTTGTAAAACCCGAGTGGCCTGGGCCAGCACCCGAGGAGCCCAAGGGTCCCCTCAAGGGTCCTCCCTCGTGGGTGCTGAGAGCCACCCCCCCCCGACACGTGGGGAAGTGATGGTTAGGGGGAAGAGAGGGGTGCACCAGAGTTCAAACTCACGCCTGGCATCCCAGCCACTCGGGAAGCTGAGATCTGAGGATGGAGGTTCGAAGCCAGCCCGGGCAGAAAAGTCCCCGTGAGACTCTTATCTCCAATTAACTACTCAAAAAAAAAAAAAAAGCCTAAGTGGAGCTGTGGCTCCAAGTGGTTGCGCGCTAGGGGCGCAGGGGCAGCCAGGGGCAGCCAGGGACAGCCAGGGGCAGCGCCCAGGCCCAGAGTTCTAAACCCCAAAACAAAACAAACAAACAAAAAAATTGGAGAAAAGAAAAAAGCGCGTTTTCCTCCAGGTGTCCAGCCGGCTGGCTGGAAGGCCATCTGGGGCCAGGTTTAGGCACGTGATCCCGGACCCCAGGGTGAGGGAAGAGGGGCGCTCAGCTCTGCGCCCCCCGCGCGCGGGTACCGGGCAAGCAGAGGCCTTTGTTCACCGACCCTGCGGATCAGGCTGTAGCAAAAATACCAAGAAAAAAAAAAAAAAACTTCCCCTTTCACTGCCTTTCCAATGATCAAGTACCCCTTCTGGCGGGAAAGGCCAGTGACAAGCCAGCTTCCTTTAGTATCCTCTCATCCCCTACCCCTCAACCTGAGGAACAGAGATACGCGATGGGGAGGGGGAGGCAACGTGCTCCTGGTTAGTCCTGCATCGTGGCGCAGCGCCACCCTACCCCCCTTCCCCCGTTAGCCCCCTCCTAATCTCCCCCCTCCCACCCCAAACCCTCCTGGTCAGGGACCCACCACTGGCTAGATCCTGGGAGCTGCGGACTCAGGAAATTCCCCCCCGAAATGGGGGAAGAGGGGAGATTCGGATCCCCTAGACGCGTGCTTACGCGCTCTGCTCTAAGAAAAGATACTGTGTCTTTCAAAAGATGATGAAGAGCCAGGTCTCTTATCGCCAGTGTAATTCTTTTCCTTGGCTTCCGTGGGGCTGGCTGATCTTCTTTGGTCTCTCCTTCAATGGTCTCTGATCACCCTAAGTCTCATTGAAGATCCATGAACCACCACGAGTTCGTCTCAGAGGTGCTCAACTTCAAGTTTGGGGTCCAACCCTATCCCTGACTTATGACATCTTGCCGGTGTGGCAGGCTAGGATCTGAAGCTGGATGCCCGTGGCCAGGCGCCCACGGTGTCCCCACCGTCCTTCTCCGATGTTCCTCCCCGCAGTCGGATGTCCTTTGTGTCACTGCCCGGTCGTGGGTGGGGGCGGGGAGGGGCGGAAGGTCGGCGTGGCGGATTTTCCCCAGAAGGTGGAAGGGCGCAGGTTTCCAGCGACCTTCAGGAGCAGGAGGAGTGGCGTGGCGGCCCAGCCCGCGCGGCTTCCCTTCTACTTTCAGGGCTGATCGCAGGGAGGAGAGGGGGATCTACCCTACCACCTCCTCCCCCCCTCCCCACACCCTACACACACACACACACACACAATCCCCACCCACACGCGGCTCTCGGGCCTCCCAACTTACATACAAGACACGCTCTGGACGCTGAGGCTCTGGAGTCGCAGGCATTTCAAATCTACTGGGGCGGGGGGTATCGCGGTCCTGACACCTCCGTGGCTCTCGGTGGGATTAACCCGGCATGGCACACGCCACGCCTCCGCCTCCAGCGCGCCCTTCACCACCGCCACCCCCCTGGCCGCGCGCCCGCTCTTTCAACCCAAAGCTGCGTGCGGCGCCGCGCAGTCCCTTCGCATAGTGTCCCCGCTGCGGCTGGCGCCCCGCGCTGGGTGCGGGCTCTGACGGAGCTGCCCCCGCGGCGGGTGGACACCGAGCATCGGGGAAGGAAGGGGCGAGGGAGGAGGGGGACGAGGCGCGGCTGGGGCGCAGGGGAGGGGGGTGGATTGCGGGGCGCAGACGAGGAGAGCGGAGGCTGCGCACTGCCTGGGCACCGGTTCCCCCCCAACCTCCCTCCCCCTCCCCTTCCTCCTCCCGCGTGCCTTGGAGGAGCCGCGGGCAGCCAGCCTGTTCCGATCTCAGCTCGCCGTGACCGCTGGAGAAGAATGGGGGACCCCCCCTCCTCTCTCCCACCCCCCAGCCCCCCCCCCGAGGGTGGAAGGTGCGGCGGGAGGACGTGGCCCCCGGGGACCGGGGGGGGAGGGGGAAGGCGGGCTGGCGTGAGCCTGGGCCGGGGCGGGCGGGGTGGGGGTGGGGTGGGATGCCGCGTTCCCGGGTGCGCAACCGAAGGAAGGAGGGGAGTTGCATTGTGGGAAGGGCGTCTGGTGCGGGTGGCCGCGGGAGCCGCTGGCTGGTCCGAGTTTTGGGGGGGGGGGTCCTGAAGATGAGGGCGCGGATGGAACCGCGGGCTGGCTCCGGCCACGGCATCCATAGACTCGCCCCGAGGTGGGCCGGAAGGCGCCCCAAGTGGTGGTGGTGGGGTGCCGATCGCGCGGACACCTTTGGAAACGCTTTGTCCCTGATAGACCGCAGCGGGGTGCGCTTCCCCTCTCCCCGCCTCACTCCGTCCTCCCCTTCCCCCCCCTCATCCGAGACCCGCACCCCACGGCCGGCCGCCGGGCGAGCTCACACCTGCCCGCCTGGGGGGGGAGCACGCAGGGACACCTAAAGGGCCTGGCGTCCCCGGGGTTGGGGTGGAGGGGGGGGAGTGAAGTGGAAAGAGGGGGACCCAGGTGGAGAGTGGGACCAGGAGTGACTGGACCCCATTTCTCATTTCCCTGTGTACGCTTTGTTCCAGACGCAGCCCCTTGTCACTGACTGGGCGCACACTTCCTCGCCGAGGAGTTGGTGTCTCCTTAAAATGGCGACAGGAACTCCCACCTGCGCAGCAGCCGGTGACACTGTCACCAGCGCGCGAACGCGCAGGGGGGGGGGGGGACCGGAGCTTTTTTATTTTATTTTTTTTTATTGTCAGGGTGATTCAGTCTTCATGTTCCACCAAAACAGGAAAGAGAAGGTGAATCATAATTCATACGTTAATCCTTACCTGGAGTCTTTTTAAACCGGCTGAGTGGTCACTGTCATGCAACTGGCCGTAGCTTTTGTCCAAACACATTTTGATGGTTATTATTAGGGTGATGTAGAGATGCTTGTTTGATGGGTCATAAATCCGGTACTGAGTGCATTTCTTTTGGGGGCCAATGTCAACCCTTCTTTCTCTCTCTCCCAGTGGCCATAGCTTAAAAAAAAAAAAATAGTTAGGCCATAGCTGTTTAATCACCTCTGGGTGATTACAATTTAGACCACCAAATTTAAACTCATTTTTTACTAAAATGATGTCATGGAACGGCAGTAAATGGTTAGATCAACAGCAGCTTTCTGAAAGAACCCTTTTTTGCATGCTACCATTTGAGCCACAGAATCCTTTTTGTAAGGCAGATTCTTGTCCATGCCTGAGAAACCCAAGGTCAATGCAAACAGAAGGGTAAAATAGACAGCCTTGCTCTGCAGATAAACAATCTTGTTTTTTTGGCCGGTCCTTGAGCTTGAACTCTGGGCCCTGAGATCCTTTTGCTAAACTAGCGCTCTACCACGTAAGCATAGCACCAAGTCCAGCTTTTTCTGTGATTAATTGGAGATAAGTATCTCATGGACTTTCCCCAACCTGACTAGCTTTGAACCATGATCCTCAGATCTCAAGCCTCCTGAGTAGCAAGGATTGTAGGTGTGAGCCACTGGTGCCCAGCTCACAATCTTTTTTTTTTTTTAATTCAACATTTTTATTGTTTCTTTTTTCTGCTTAACATTTGTACCAGGGCAGGGTTCCTAATTCCTTAAAAAAAAAAAATGGGGAGGGGCTGAGAAGGTGGCTCAGTGGTAGAGCGCTTGCCTTGCATGCCTGAGGCCTTGAGTTCGATTCCTCAGGGCCACATAAGCAAAAAGAAAAAAGCCGGAAGTGGCGCTGTGGCTCAAGTGGTAGAGCGCTAGCCTTGAGCTGAAGAGCTGAGGACAGTGCCCAGGCCCAGAGTTCAGGCCCCACAACTGGACCCCCCAAAAAAAATGGGGAGGAGGGGGTTTTGCAGGTGGTGGCTAATAGGACAAACAAAACACAAATACTCCATAGGTCACCGGAAAGCTGGTTCATCTTTCTTTCTTTGTAGAAGAAATGAATGATTTTAAGTAGGATACATCATGTGTAGGATGCATCTTGTCTAAAATGCATCTTACATAAGATAGGAAATCTGGGTAGGTGAAACAAATAAGCCTGTAGAAATGTTTGCTTTATTTAAAAAATACACATATTCTTCATGGCTGGTGCTCTACCACTGAGCCACACCTCCAACCCAGCATTTTGCTGGTTAATCAGAAATAGTGTCTGGGAAGACTTTTCTGTCTAGGTTGTTTTTGAGCCATGTTCCCCCAGACCTCAGCTTTGAAGTCACCAGTGTCTGATGCCCAGGTACTCAGTGCCCTAAACCTAATGTAGAGGTCTTTGAAAAAATATCATAAAGATGATTTCCTTTTGTGTTGTGTGTTTATTCAGATAAAGCGACAGACTGTATGTTTTCCACATTGTCTATCATTTAATCCTCTTAACACACTTCACAGGACACACCATCCTACTGTCTGATTTCAAGGTTAAAAAACATTCATCCCAGCCCAGTGCTGGTAGCTCATGTGGGTAATACTCAGGAGGCTGAGATCTGAAGATCCTGATTCAAAGCCAGCTCAGGCAGAAAATCTATGAGACTCTTAATTCCAATGAACTACTCAAAAAAAAAAAAAGCAAGCCTGAAGTGGCTCTGAGGCTCAAGTAGCTAGCCTAGAGCCAAAGAAGCTCAGAAACAGCACCCATGCCCTGAATTCAAGCTTCAGAACGGGAAGAAAAAAAATGCATCCCAGGTCCACTCAGCTCTAATGAATTCAGATTTGGTTTCTCTGTCTGGCTCTAAAATGCTCCTGGATTCTGGAACAATTGTCTTTGGAAGGCCATGGGAAGGATCCTAGGTTACTCTGCCTTCAACTAGGAACCACAGAAGATAGACTCACTACACAATCTAGGGAGTCCTTTTGCTCTGTTTTATTTGCAAGTGCCAAGGACATTGCTTCCTAAGATTGAATAGTATTTATAGTCATTTCCTAAATGGGTAGTTTATCCAAAATGGTATTAAGATAGGTCATATTAAGAGGTCTTATTGCAGACAACCCTGAAGAATTGGAAAATTCCCTGTAGCTGCTCTGAAATTAAGCCTTTAGAATAGGAACCCATATTGTTTAAAAAAAAAAAAAAGACTGAGATAATTTCACCTGGGCATTTTTTCCAGAAGCCTCCATAGACTCTTTTCTGTGTGGTTTCAGGAAGGTGAGGCAGCTTTACGAAGAGAAACCAATTGTACCCCTAAGAGGATTGAACCCGAACTTAAGCCGTATCTGCTCTTACCCTAGTTTGCCTGGCTTCAGCAGCCAGCTGTGGAAGGGGCCACTACCAGCTGCTTACCCAAAATACGTGCAGCCTTCCACGGGGGCTCAAAGCCTTCCAGACATATCTGGTCCGGTACCTGCAGACTTCTTGTGTAGTAATTTTATGTAATAAGATCAAAACTATTTGCCAAAGATAAATTTGCTTTTTTTCCCATCTACAAAGGACTGAGAATAACTTAATTTTTTTACATTGCTATTTGAAAGGTGATGTACAGACAGGTTACAGTTACAAAAGTCAGGTAAAGAGTACGTTTCTTTTTGGACACTGTCACCCCTTCCCTGGTGCTTTCCCAGTTTTTCCCTCCCATCCCCCCCCCCCACACAAGTTGTGTAGATCATTTTCCACATAGTGTCCAGTGAGTACCACTGCTGCATTTGTTTATCCTTTGTCCCTCCATTTCTGGGCCTTCCTTGCTCTCCCAAAGACAGATAAACGAAAAACAAGACAAAAAGAAAAAACAAAAACATCAACAAAGAAAAAAACCCTTTTTGTTTCCCTTTCCTGGAGTTCATTTTGATAAATATTATTTTGTATGATCAGAGGCACATAGAATAACCTGAATTTTAACCATGATTATCAAGTAGGAGGGCTGGTAGCTCAGTGGCAGAGAGCTTACTGAGAATCACAGAGCCCTGATTTTGATCTCCAGCACCACAAAAAAAGAAAAAAGAAAAATAGGGAGGTCTATGAGTGAGGTTATTTTGGAAGAAGTATCCTACACATTTCCTATGTGGAACAGATGCACAAATGCCACCTTGGTAGCAAAATAAGTTGCTTATTCTGAAATCAGACTTTTATTCCTGTTTGTATAGTCTCTACCCTAAAACGGCCAGATGGTCCTTAAACTGGGTTTTGTTTTCTTGATTAATGATTCATATTTTGTTTGTCTGATGAACCTTTTTTTTCTTTCTTGTTTTGGCCATCCTTGAGATTCTTTAGCTTTCATTCATTCATTCATGACCATATGTGCACACTAGACATAGTGAAGTAGTCACAGTGAAAAGTAAATACTTTGCAATGAAAGAAAACCCTGCTGTAGATACCTGAACCAATCTTGGGGCTTAAATTCATGACCCTGGACACTGTCCCTGAGCTTTTGTGCTCACTCAAGGCTAGTGCTCTACCACTTAAGCTGCAACTCTACTTTTGCCTTTTTTGGGGGGGGGGGGAGGCGGTTAATTGGAGGTAAAAGTCTCATGGACTTTCCTGCCCAGGATGACTTTGAACCTGGATTCTCAGATCTCAACCTCCTGAGTAGTTAGAATTACCGGCGTGACCGTGACCCTTAGATCTTTTTGCTCAAGGCTGGGAGCTGGAAGCTCTCAATATGCTATGTGATGCTAAAGTCATGCTGGGA